CATGAAACCCATCATTGTCACCTCAATTTCACCTGAGAGTCTTCGACAGAAGGAGCCGTATTGATTGTGGGCCAGGTTTGTCGATGTGCCTGCAGGGTGGAACCGCAGACAGAAGACATTGCGACCCCTTCTCGCCCAGGGTAAACAAATCGAGGGGGCGCTGAAGGGCTAAACAGTGTGGAAATTGTGATGGAAAACCTACAGCAATTTTCATGTATTGCGGCTACACAATATTTAGATAACATGAGAGAACCGATGTTTCGCTTTAATTTTCCATTTTCATTCGACAAACTCATTTCCAAGGGGGAGATAAGCTTTTTTTTCGATTTATTTCAGGCTCAATAACAGCTTTAAATAAGATTCTTGCTTTTACAATTACATTTGCGTACTAAAATTAAATATAACCTCAAGATTTTCACTTTGATTTTGAGCTAAAAAAATTCTCTCAGAGTTGCTCAAGAATTATGGTCAAAAAGAATTTTTAAATGTCAATTTAGAGGAAGAAAACGTCTGAAAATCTGAATTATAAAGTTGTCAGTTAGATTTTAGTTAATTTTCCGGGTGATAAAATAAAAAATTTATTATTTAAAATGTTTCATTCAAGTTGATTTCTGGAAAATGTCAGGAAATTGTGCATAATTATTTCCCCCTTGCATAATTCATAGCCAGAGGAAATCGATAGTGTTGTGCTGGTTGGAATAATTTTATTAGATAGATTGCATTCTCATTAATTCACATAATTCCAATCGACATCCTTAATTGCAATGTACATTGAGAGGAAAGCACAGGAATCTAATATTGACTGATTCGGAAATGGAGCGAAGAATCAAACAATCGAACTAACACTTAATCAATAGAATTGCATGGAATATAGCATCTCATCCATCTTATCTTCAAACAGGGAAAAAAAATCCAGTCTAAAATCCCGTCTGAAGCTTTTCTCTCTTTCTCATTCCGACAATTATCCCCACACGAGCTTTATATATTCTACAAATTTCCCTCTGATTTATGCGTACTTATCTCTCGAAAGTTTCACCTGAAAAGCATTCCACATCCGATTTCAATATGTACATATCCTTCAGATCTGGAAACTACCCTAAATAACTCTTGTGAAACTATCTGGCCATGAGGGAAAGTCTGCATAGGAGATAAATTCTCTCAGTGAGGAGACTCAACAATGAGAACCGTTTTTGGGGGTGATTCACATACCAAAGTATCTCTTCCCAGTTATACTAATTTATTGAGTCGCTATCCGAAGAATTGGGCACTTCTGTACGACTCCAAAATGGCATTTCCATTTGAAGTGAATTGCTTATTTTATATCGCATTGATAGAGCAGCGCGGGAAAAAGAGCCCGGAAAAAGGCGCGACGGCGAATGGGTTGAGCGTGCAAAATATGTATTTTCCGCTGTGCCCAGATAAGATTGTACATGACATAAATTCAGTTGTGATTTTTTGGGGGAGGGTCTTTTATTAAAATACTTGAAATAACTCCGGCGGAAGTATTTCTTTCGGGCATTCCGCCATTCACTGCCGCACGAGCCATGAAAATTGCAATGGCGAAGCGTGTGCGGCTGAGGGAGTTGAGAAAGAGATTATTTCTCAAGGGGCTTCTTCGCCACCCTCCCCCGCCCCCCCCCCGCCGACATGTGGGGGCGGATATCGGGTGGCGGAGGGGCTTCACGGAGAGATTGTTGCTATTATCCAAAAACCCCACTAAAGTCGGCGGTGAAGCCTGAGAATTTATCGGCCACCTTGGGGCTGGTCGAAGCTAATAGTTTCCTTCGTCGCTGCAAACCCCCGTGCGGAAGATTAATCGAGTGTGATCTGGAGGGTGACTGCGATAATTCCCATATCTCCACGCATCCGAGGGGTTGGCATTAATTGAATTATGGCGACCACTTTTAATGATTGGATATTGATCGTCGAACTGTTCGCGCGCGCCTCGTCAAAATTCCACTACAATTTTCCAGAGACTTTCGCCTCCAATCATTAATTATATGTCGCCGGACATGATCATTCATTCTCCATGCATTTCCACCCAAGGGGGAGATAATACACCCAGAAGTGGTGAACAATTCAGCGGAAGTGTTAGGAAGGAAAACACACTTCTTTCCATATGATTTTTACGTAGAAAAGATCATGATAATTCTTTTCTAGGTTATGTAGCGAATTAAAGACAGTTTAAGAGAATATTTCGCGTTTTAAATGATCTGTTTTCATTGCACATTGCATATTCTGAGCTTTTGATGCCAAGAAATACTGCAAAATGTGCTAAGATCTAATATAATCTCAAGAATATTGATTTGAACACAGAAAACAAATATTTATGATAACTTTCTGGACAATTTTGACTAAAAATCAGCAATTTTAATGCTCATTGGCGAAGTAAGAAAGCTTCCAAGCGAAGTTTTCAAAGATCAATTTAATTTGAGCATTAGTGTGTGTGTGTGATTTAAGGCATACTATCTGCCCCTTGTTTTCACCCCCAGCGTCATGCAGACTGACATTATGGGGGTGGGTTTCATGAAAATTTCCTCCCACCCGAATCCAGGCACGTTCTGGGACACTCTCTATATTTGGCCCAGGAGCAAGCGTCAGGACATCGAGTCTATCTCTCAAATATTCACCCACAAGTTTGCCATCGTGACTCATCAGGCTGAGGGTTTATTTTTGCACATCTCCATAGGTCAACCCACTCAGTTTTGCCCTAACAAAAAGTCAAATTCAACAAACAGTCATAAAAGTTTTCACTCGCCGGAAAACCGCCAACGCAACTTTTCGGCACTGAGAAGAAGCATCGCCAGAGCTTTCACTCGAGTAAGCAAAGCAAATATTGTAGGTTTTTTTTTCTTGTGATTCTGCGAATATTTTGCACAGCCTAGAAAAAGTCCTTAATTTCCATTAAAATCTAATTTTCTTCTTTTTTTCACACACAAACTTCTATAAATTCTAAAAATATTTCTCAGTGTTGAACTTCCGACAGAAAAAAAGGGGGAATTTTTACGTCAGATATTTTCCAGTGTTCAAGGATTCTGTGGAGAATTTGCATAATTGGATTTAATGCTCATCAATAATTTTTCCAGGTAAAGATGATTATTTTGTAGGCGATTTTTCATCGTGAGATAATCTCCAAATGCCCTGGAAAGAGGAGTAAAAAGTGAAAATGCGGTCTTTTCACTGACAATTTCCATAATTCATTAACACATTGAAGGAAGAATCGCGCACTTTTTCTTCCTTTTTTTTTAGTCCTTCTTTGGCACAATCGAGCATCGCGGCAATTGGCAAACTCCGTTTAGTGCTGGATCGTAAAATTTTGAAATGAAACCAGCTGGGAATTTTGCATTTCCACCCACTTGACTTCGGTGGCTGCTGAAGAGGTGAAATTTCATGGGTTGGCGCCTTTAGAATTTAATAAAAGCCAGACCAGGAGCGGCCATGGAGGGTTGGGGGGAAAAAATGCTATTTTAACGATGTGTACATGGCGAAATAACACAGACGGGCGTCTGACTTCGCTGCAAGATGCTTCGCGGTGCATTCATATCGCGCTTCAATAGACTATTATAATGAATGAATCACGAGATTCAGCGGAAAGCTTCATTCTATTCTTCGGAATTCTGCAACAGTGTGCGCCAAGTTGGATGAAAAGCTTCTCTCCCCCTGAGCTTGCGGATGGAATTTGCAGCAGGAGAACAGCAAATACACACACAGCATGTCAGCACCCCCCAAAAGACCAAACAACGGAATGCGAGGGTGGTTTCAGTTGGCAAAATATTCAGGATTGAGCGATTAAGTGGAGATATGGGGAGGAAAACTGCGGAGAAACGACTCTCTAACCCTCAAAAACCCCATTGGCAATGACCCAGAGGAGCTCTCTAATAGTCTTGTTTTGACGGAAATTCCTCCACAGTGTGACCCTTCTCTCTCTGGACAATCCGCGTGAGTCCAAGTTTTTCGGTGATAAGAAACTTTTTCAATTTATCATCATTTCGTCCAAAAGACTTTCCTCTCAAAATCCAAACTGACTTTGAGCTCAAGTCAATCAAACAGATGCCATTTTCCCGTGGAATTTCACGATCAGTGGCTGTGAAAAAGCTCTGTGACCGGAGAATCTTAACTGAGGGATAAATTCTTGGGGGTTCAAGTTAAGGAGCAGATATAATTGGTGCATTTTCCTTATTATTTTGCATAGAAAAATCAAATTTATTGCTTTTTCTAAATTGTGACATTGATTTTATAACAGTTTTTGACGGTTAAAAAACCACCAAAACCATTTTGTATTCGAAAACACTTCAAATTGGTGTGGAAAAAGCTTTCAAATAAATCATAACCGCAAAGAGAAGGAAAGAAAAATGTTTCTTTCCTTCGTTATTTCCGCGGATTGTGCTTCAAAGTGACAAATTCAACCTCATTATCTAGGAAAAACTGTTTTTTCGTCATATTTATATATTTCCAGGCTTGAAGGATTTTTCAAGTCGCATTCATAACCTCACAATTTGGTCAAAATGTTTAAAAATCGTGTTTTTAGAATCCGAAATCTAAGCAGAAGTAAGGAATGAGTTAGAAAATGCCTCTAAAGACAGTCAGAAGTGTCTCTGAAGTGTTCAAGATTCTGCACAGAGACTGTGAAAGTGATGTACAGCTTTAAAGCACATTATCTGCCCCTTGGTTGCAATAGAGAAGTAACAATTTCGGGGAAAATCTCCTTTCACTTACATGTTTATTATTTATCTCTCACTCGTCGTGGGAGAGATTTTGAAGATTAAGTGCATATGGAGAAGTGAGTTTTGATGTATTAAAGTTCGGGGGTTAGAGGGACTTTATATATATGTTGTGCAGCGAGAAGGAAAGTTCCGTATGAATAAAAGCTCTCCATTGTGCTTGGGATTATGATGATTTATGTAATTTTGATATTATGTGTGAGAGTATAATTTGGGGGAGGGAAAGAATGGCAATTTCTCTTGGCATTTCGTACGCCACAGCGCACAAGGTCAGCTCACCTGGCACTGCGGCAAAGGTCCTTCGGGCTGCTTGGCCTTCCAGCCCAGCAACGGTGGGATGCAGATGAGGCCGGACATTATCCACACGGCGGTGATCATGATGGCGGCGCGCGCGGGTGTTCTGGTCTTGAGATACTCCACGGCCTTCGTGATGCTCCAGTACCTGTCCAGGGAGATCAGGCACAGATTCATGATGCTGGATGTGCACAGGAGGACGTCCATGGCGGAGTGGATGTCGCACCACCAGGCGCCGAAGATCCAGTAGCCCATGAGCTCGTTGGCCAGCGAGAAGGGCATGATGACGAGGCCGAGGAAGAAGTCCGCCACGGCGAGTGACGCAATGAACCAGTTCTGGATGTTCTTCAGCGATTTCTCCGTGGCAATGGCGATGATCACCAGCATGTTGCCCACCACGATGATCACCATGAGGATGGTGACCACGATGGAGGCGAACACGATGTGCGCTATCGTGTAGCCGCTGGGATAGATGCCGGGAATGGCGGCGGCGCTCGTGGTGGAGATTGGCGACAGGGTGGCGTTGATGAGGGTGTCATTGGCGCCCCCTGTCGGCTCCGCCAGGCCCGTGACATTGCCTATCATGGCCAGGAAGTCCTCATTGGTGATGTTGCCCACTGGGTACTCCATCATTGGCCACTGTTGCTTCTCCATTGCCCACTAAGCGCGCGTCTCTGTGTGATTCTTATTGCTTGTGATTATATATACCCATCTATTGCATACGAAAACGCTCTAGCTTCTAATTAAATTCACTCTCAAATGCTCGCTCGTCTCACACTCTCGACCAATATATGGATGATAAATTCGTTAAATGGATGTTTCTGGCATTACTGGTGATGTTGATGGCCCGATCTGCTCATCGATTGCTATCGAGAATATGGTGTGTATTGTTCGTTGGTCCCACAGCTGATGAGTACACCTAAATCACACCATTTGCCGTGTGTGCGCTCAAATATTCACACAACAACTCGAGGCTGCCACCGGCATTGCCCTGATGGAAAGTTCTCACCCACACTCAGTGTTCAACAGTCTCAATTGCCTGGCATCGGAGCTCCATTGCCAATTCACGCACGACACTTTCTTCACTGAATCATGCACACTCAACAATTCCCCTGTCCGCTAATCATGGCTGAGATAATTAATTGCTCCGAAAGGACTTTGCAGCCAACACCTGGGCCGACACACAAACTCTCACGCTGTACTGACTAAAGTGTGTGGGTCCTTTTGCCACATTGAGTGCCTAAAGTTGTATAGTGTTAACTCGGACGATAGAGTGCAAGCTAAGTATATAAAAGATAGATTTATCCTAAATACCATAAATCTTCACCAACTGTGTTTGCAGCTAAAACTACCCGTTTTTTTCCGAAAAGCCGACTCTTTTTTTGTTTTGTACAGATTCTTTCTTAGTTAGTTGAAACGACTCGGTAGGAATTGATTCTATTATCTTCACACAAATTAATAACTTTCACCTATAATTTCTCCTTTATTATTAACATCTAAGCAATACAATCTCACTACGCGACAATATCAATGTCAATGCCCGGATTCATCCGCTCATAGATACTGTCTTCTCCACACACTTTTCCACGCACAGTGTTTGTAATTTTATCCTAAGGAAGAGTGTTATTAATAGGCAAATAAAAGAAAGAGCGCAATTGAGGCCGCGCTCTCACATGTTGTGGGTGTCGCTCGGCGTATTGAAATGATCATAAGGAGCACATCACATCTAGACATTGAATTTTGATTTGCGTTTCTTCCTCATCAGTCAAAGACCACTGTCTCAGATCACTTCTCGCTCTGGCTCTGGCTTCCTGGATCGTGAGGGTGCCACTTGGAGTGGCCCATAGTCGTTTCCCTTCTACCCCGTGTTGCCGATGCGCACCCTAGATGTTTACTGGCTATCTGTGTCACACCACACTCTTCAGCGATTCGCCAGAGAGCTTCCCTGCAGTGTCCTGGGGACTGGCCGAAAGGGCTGCTAAGCTGAACCGGACACTAAGACTTCCCGCTCACAGTTCGATTTGTCATCATTCACTCCGATGGCCACTCAAGACGCTGATGCCATTGAGCACCCCATCACACACCTTCCGGATTAGCGTCAGCCCCGCGAATCACCGCACACATCTCAGGGAAAAAATAATCTATCTGGCCACCGGACAGAGAGAGTTCGCCGTTCCAAGTGTCCAGGGAAAGAGAAATGCCTGTCCTGCACACGACAGAGAACACACGCTCGCGAGTGCAATCGGGGATCGGTGCCGAGGTCTGGCTGGAGTCTAACCAGTTTGGGATAGATCCAAATCGAGACTGAAACAGAACGCACCATCTCGAGAGTCACAAGGCGGATTTGGGTGGGTGAAGTGGGAGCAAAAAAGCGGCAGACGGAGGGTTGGCAGCTCCCAGAAGACCCACCAGACGCACCACAATGTGTGCGAGTTTGCTCCACTACATGGGGAAATATCTGCAGATGGAAGAGCATCAACGTGCTGGCTCCGCCGAGAGTGTCGGACTCATTCTAGCGCGTACAAATTCACGCGATGTCGCACATGCGCGCAGCGACGCCTGGCGTGCAACACACCAGGCCGAGTGTAATCAACAAAACGGTGGGAAATATGATGAGATGTGCCGCTGACGGATGACTGTGCAGTGTACTCTTCGTGCTCTGCTTAATTACTTCTCGCTCCTTCGCCAGGACTCTCAAGGCCCAGCAATTCCATCGCCGCACAAGTTTGGGGCTCCATCATGCGCCATCCGGGAGAATTTCGTATACGTCTTTCAGCAAAAAAAAATCGTCCGCCAAATAGAGTGAAAGGAAGGACAAAGACTCGAACGTACATAATTGTGCAAGAGCTGCAACATGTTGCAGTGTATATAAATCGACAGGAGCGATTCAAGGGATAAAGGAGAAAGGAAGAACGGATGAAAAGTACAGTATTCGATTTCTATTTAGCGCTACACTTTGAGAGTACAATCCAAGAGGGAAATAATATGGTTGAAATCTGTACTTCACTTCCTCAAACTGCTCTTTTGAGCAGTTTTCGAACATAAGCTAGAGAAAACATTTAAAAATTGCTGATTTCAAGTCTAAAATTGCTCTGAAAGACTTCCAAATACATACTTTTTAAGCTCGATGTGTTGTTTTTGAGGTTATGTTACACTTAAGCATAATTCAACTGAGAAAATGCAAATTATTCATTCAATCTATTTTAAATAAGTCACATAACCTAGAAAAAACATTAACAAGAGCTTTTTGTGATACAAAACCAGAGATTTTCAAAGAATAACGTAAATTTCGTAGGAAAAAGCACTCAGAAAACGAATCATACAAACGAGGAAAATTTTACTCGCGATTTTTGAGCAGCAATTTAAACTTTAAAAGCATTTTGAAGTTCCAATTGTATTTCCTCCTAATTTTAGGTGTTCAAATCCAACTTAAGGAAGATTTTGTAACTTTTTTGCTATTTATTTTTAAGTTTTTTTTTAAAATATTCTTCAAAATCTAGAAATACAACTGAATTTTTTTTTTGATATCTTGTCATAAATAATAATTTTTTTTTTAATAATTCAGCAGTTTTCCTTGGAAAACAATCATTTTTAACTATTAAAATAATAAAATATTTGATTGATATCCAGGATTCCTCAAGAATTGACTTTCCACTGAGTTGTACACCACTTCTGGCCACAATAGCTTTCCCTTGAGTGCAACAGGACTCAAAGCTGCTCCGTAAGCGCAGCTTTCCAGTGAATACCTGACTGAATAGCCTTTTCCAGCGCCAAATTCAGCATCCAGTGAGCGATCGTCACACATATTCACAACGCGGATTATCTCGTTGCAATCATTTGGACCAGAAAGTAACTTAGAGTTTCACAATTTCTCAGAAATTTCTTGCAAATTTGTGCAATATTTCCTGTTTGGCGCGCTTTGTCCACTGAAGCTCTCTGACTGTCTCTAAATTCCATCGCATGAATATCACTTGTAGGCGCTTTTAATCGGCACTTTTGTCCTCATTTCCGGCCGAGAATGCACATAAGTTCCAGCTCAATGTCAGCACACATTCCCAGGGAGTCGCTTTGTCTTGCCCCAATGGCGCACAAAGGGCTCCACACATGATGCCATAGAGTCGTCGTGGAAGCCGCAATAAATATTCAACAGACGGAGTTCATTAAGTCAGTGGCATTACCAATAAATTCCATTGAATATTTATCATAATTCACAGAAGCATTACAACTCCACACGTGTATAAAATTCATTGGCTCTGCTGCACTTTCCCCCGCCCTTGGCGCCCTTTTTTCCCACCCTCCCGGCAATCCGCCATCTCGCCGCCTGTGTGAAAAATGCCAAACTTCCGTGGGAAAAGCGGACGTGGCGAGCGCCTGCACAACTCAATTTATTCTGCACAGTGTTCTGCTGGTCTGATAAACAAAAATATTGCTCAGAGTGACACATAACTCAACATCAAATACAATCAATTGTTGTGCTCGCGAAAATCACCTCATAATCCCCAGCAAATTACTGTCTATGCTGAAAAAAGGACCAATTTAATCACACGCGGATATTTCAGGAGAGTTTGTCTCTGTTGGGATTTACACAACTACAACTGTAAATATTGGCGATTCAGGATTAAACACATGCATAGATTTCACGTGACATTTTTTTTTCATGTAATCACATGTTTAATGGATAAATTTTCATATCTATAAATAGAGATTTAATGGGAATATTTGCGAGCGGGGAATTAAATGGGAATATTCTGATCTGTGTTGTGAATTTACATGGGAAAAATAATACAAACTTGTGAATTTTTTTTATATGTTCTGGAAAATTGTAGACTATCTTTTGCCCTTTTCAAAATGCCATCATTCTTGAAAATCCGTCAAGAAATAGCGCCAATATGAATATTTTTAGTGTGAAATACATAAAAATGTCTTTATTGACTACAAAGGTCTCAAACGCCATCTTGTGGTGGTTTGACAAGCTTGGCAGGTTCTAGAAAATTGTAAGTCGTTTGAAAACCTTTCAAAATCTGTGCAATTTGTGAAAATCGGATGAAAACTTAGGAAGATATGGGTAGATAAATGGTAAGAAAAGCATTTTTTACCCTGAAAATGTAAAGAATTTCGCTCATCACTGCAATTCTGACAGATATTTCAATATGATAGCTTGAATAGAAATCATGGTGAGGCTAAACTAGTCGATTTATGTATTTATTTTCTGGTTGAACTTTTCTGGGCTCCCGCAGGATTGACGATTAAGTGTTTCCCAGACGCTCCTCTTCGCCTTGAGGAATTGAGCCAAACAATGTGATGCCGAAATATGTGATGATACTGATAGTGAGTTTCCCCCAAGACCTCTCGGAATAAACATAATTGTATTTTAGGTTAATTAAGTTCCATGCGAAAGCGACCAAACGAGCTCAAAGCGGGGCTGCATGAATTCGGTGGTTTTAGGGCTGCCGTTTTCCCAGAGGGTGAGTGAGAGCGAGAGAGAGTACGGCAGTCCTGAAGGGCTGAATGCAGTGCCACGAGAATTTTGCACATTTGTGACGCTTTTGCGCCCCAGTGGGCGCGACCCCCCCTGGTCGCGCCCACTGGGGGGGTGGGGGAGAGGAAACAAGAACAAAATTTTAGAACAT